TCTAGGGGATGTAACATCCTCAACATCCCTTTATTTAAAATTTCACATATAATATAAAGTCCGTCAACACCCAAGGGTGTGGAGGTCGATGAAGTGGGTGCAAACTTTGGAAACCAAGGTTCAAACCCCAGTAAAGACAACAGACTAGGTGTTTTTTCTTATTTTCTTAATCTTTAGTGCATAGAGTTAACCGGTAATTGTGCTGGCGGGAGATAGCCGGTACTTGCTAGAATAGTCGAGGTGTGTGCAAGTTGGCTCGAACACTACTATAAATAACAAAAGAAAGTTTTTCAATTTTTCATAACGGAAAAGAAGAGCAACAGTGACATCGTATTTGTCTAGTGACCTCCAAACATATGCCACATTTGTATGTCTAGTTTTTTGCATTATTATTTCTTGAAGTGGCAAAATTTCATGTCTTAATAGAAATAAGGATTCTTGATTGATATTGTTTGGTTCATTACATTGTTCTCAAGTGTATAATTGCAATACCAAGAACAGACATAAAATATTTTCAGAGTGTTGTGTCTAATGCGTAATTGCAATATGAACACAACCACAAAACTAGGTATTGCTGACTTCAGTGGAATTTGAGAAGTGATACAATTTAGTTATAATTGGGTTCCACGACTTCTTAATCTAATTATGTAACACGGAAGATGGGTTAACTTACATATTGAAGAGTCTTATAGTGTCCTTCTCTCCTCCATATCTCAGTAGATTACTTCTTTGAGCTTGATATGCCAAAGTGGATGACTTAGTAAAAGACTAGTATGCTTTAGCAGCAAATTTCATGTTTCCCAAGAAAAGAAAGAAATATTTGAATAAGGGAAGAAGGGTGTGGTGGGCTGAAAAAGCTCGTCCAGAATTTGAACTTGAGGATCTTTATACCAAGAATACCACACACTTATCATTTTCTTGATTGGTTTACAGAGTGTCTGCTTAAGAGGATAATGAAGTGAAATGAACATCATGGCTATTATATGTTGAGTTTGCATCCACTCAAGTTTGAATTGTGCAGGATAATGCAAATGCCTTAAAGACTCAACTTGATCAGCAGAAGGCTGTGGTTGACAATCTAGTCAGCAATACACGGGTGTGTTCCTAAACTTTTCTTTTTTATCTGCTTATTATTCTGGAAATTTATTTCTCAGATTGGTCTTTAATCTGAGTAATTTTTGGGATATTTATTGTAAGTTCCATCTAGGAACAAATTTTACCAAAATCTGGGTGTTGCACTTTATGTTAAAAATGAACTGGAACCTTTTATCTTTGACTATTGTCATCTCTCATCTGGCAGCTTTTGGAGAGCAAGATACAGGAAGCAAAATCAAAGAAGGATACTCTGAAAGCACGTGCTCAGTCAGCAAAGTCAGTTACATTCCTTCTCATCATTTCATATTTATCCTGAATTACAAATATCCAGGACTCACACTTTTGGTTATACCTCTTGTAAGGGGCATTTCCCCCAACTTATCAATAAAACTATTGCATCAATATAAAAATATATGTGGCTCATAAAATTGCCACACTTCATTAATCTCGTTTCAAGAAAATGACTATGAGGTTTATCATCTAGGACGGCAACCAAAGTAAGCGAGATGTTGGGAAATGTAAATACAAGCAGCGCTCTCTCAGCCTTTGAAAGAATGGAAGAAAAAGGTTCTTACAGATATTCCACCTTATCTTTCCATGTTTTCTTCTTTTGCTTCCAATTTCAGATGCTTACTTTGCTTCTACTTTAAAATTTTCTTGTCTTGTAGTAATGCCTGTAAGAGGTTGATTTTTTGGCTGCCTATATATACAAACAATAAGACTGAATGCTTATCCTTTCACAGCATTTTCCTTGTATCAACTACAAAAATGTAACCTGTATAGAACTGTCAAATTACTGATTTATTTGTTTTTAAACATCTTCACCTTGGTCTCTCATGTTTGATACTCTATATGTATATCATATGAAATGATGTCTTCTGAGACAACAAAATCTCACTAGGTTGGCTAGAATCCAGGAGGAGCTCAGCCGTGGGCATGAACTCTGCTATTTATTACAATTTGTTGAGTCCAGCTGTCATTGCTTATAAAATAAAGATAAACACATGTTCAATGTCAGCACCTTTTTTTGAAAATAATTAATTGAAGTGTGCAAAAGGACGTTGGTAAGAGTAGTGCTTTTGTTGTAAAGCCAACATATTTTTGTGCAGCTATTTAGACAATGTTCTTGTCATAGAATAATTCTCCTCCCACCCTTGAATGCACCATTAGTGTTGAAAATAAGAATTGGTTATCCTGGATATAGTTCCGCTGAAACTATGGAATCACCTACCCTAGTCACGCGCTAAAATAGTTGTGGTTGATTAAAATGATTGTCTTACTTTTTCTCAATTTTCCATAGTTTTGACGATGGAGTCTCAAGCTGATGCTCTTAACCAGTTAACCAGTGATGAGCTTGAAGGAAAGGTAATTAGTGTTTCTCAATTGCATTGCCTTCTTTTAGGTCATGTGCTCTTGGTTATTCTCTCTTTGTATTAGTCCAAGAGTTGCTTTCTTTGAATAGACCTGAATTACTTTTTTCCCTCTCCTCTTTGGTGTCTCTAACTCTCTATCTTACATTGTAATATGCAAGTCTTCAAACTTCATGGTTTTGTTACTATCCATTACCTCTTATTTTCCTCTTTGCCAATGTTTATTGAAACCTGAAGCAATGGTAATATTTGGTGTCTCCTTTTTTCATCGCTCTCTCCTTTTTTTTTTTGTCTGTCTTGATCATTTTTATTTGGAAATGTGGCTAACTTCTTGTGCTTTTTCTTATTATTGTGAAAATGGAAAGTGATCCAAAATGTAACTAGTCTGACTTTGCATATTCACAACATACATAATTGGTGAAAATATTTTTTGTTTCGGTACTCATTTCTTGTGAGCACAAAACACCACAAAAGGACAACATGCCTGTGCTGCAAACGAAGTTTTAACTTCCATTATGCAAAGCCTTTGTGGGAGAATTTAGTGCTTCTTAGGGGATTGTATTTTTTTTTATCCTAAATGATCATTCTGCTTTTGACAGTTTGCGTTGCTGGAGACCTCTTCTGTTGATGATGATCTTGCCAGTTTAAAAAAGGAATTGTCTGGAAGCGCAAAGGTATTTTGTACTCGATCTATCCATAGATGGATATGAATGTTTCAGATGTGTCTTCATTGTTGAAAGCACGAATTAATGGAAGTATGGGCACCTAGAGTACAGACTAATCTTTCCTTCTAGATTGAGCTATGCTTGGCCAAGTATGCTAACCATACCAAGCAGCAAGATTTCTAGGATATAAGAAAATAATCATGAATGTTGGCAAGCTATTTTCCTTTTGTCTCCCTGATATTGTTATCGGGTGATGTCAAATTTTAATAAATCAAACTACATATGGTAAATAGATGAGACGAAGTATGAGTTGTTTCTCTCCATTATACACACTTCTGGCTAAGTTAATTGTCTAGCCATGAAATTGTATTATCCGTAAAAGCAGAACTAGTGTGCATATGTGGGCGACTACGGAAGGTGAGGGAGTTACTTGAGGATGCATAATTTGCTCTATTGTGCCCCCAGACTTTGGTCTAGTTGTAATGTAAGAGTGTAGCATGTGTGGGTTATGAGCACGTCACGAGTTTCAAACCGTGCCCCAATTGGCCCTTGGGAGATTTTCTCATCTATCAGGAAAAAAACACAATCTTCTTCATTGTTGATGCAGCATTTCCTTATAAACCTCCAGACTAGAGCTGAGGTATTTTGGTTTAATGTTTTCCTTTTATTGACTAAGCAGAAAGGAGATCTTCCACCGGGGAGAACACCAGTTGCCAGATCAAGCTCGCCATTACAATTTCAAGATTCAGAGATTGAAAAAGAATTGAACGAGTTAAGGAGGCGGGCAAATGACTTCTAGAGATCACAGTCGATCTTTCACACTACAAATCGTCTTCCTTTAGGCATCTGTTACTCAAAGAATGTGGCTTTTGGCTTTTCCGAAAAGTTGCCTCATCGATGAAGGCCAGTGAAATAGGAAGTGAAACTGGGGAAAGTATATTGCAATATGTTGATACATCTTCTTTCAAATTATTGACCTACATTATGGCAATATAGTGTAAGCTAGTCCTGACTTCAGTTTTGTATACTGCCACCCAAATGTTTTCATGTGAGAATAGTCACTTCAAGTTACATTGTAGATTTGGAAATTCCACAATGTTGGTTTTGCTCTCATTTTGTGAAAACTGTTTTTTCACATGCTATTCTCCACAACTTGCTTCAAACTCTGTGCTTTCAGTGAGCGAGAGTCTATTAGAAACAACATCTCTACCTTCACAAGGTAGGGGCAAAGTTGTGTATACACCACCCTCCTCAAATCCTATTTTTGTCTCATAAATAGCGACTTGCTCGGAATAATGTAGCGATGGTCCCTCTCTCTCTGACTTGGACTCAGTTAAACTGAATTCTCTGTAAAAATGCGGTGTACCAAACGGATAGACGGTAAGACCCTATGTACCTCAACTATATCTTCACAGAGACAACGTTAATCGAATGTGTACGATAAGTGAGAGGTGGCAACACACAACAACCAATTGATTAATCCTGAACTTCACAACGACAACTTTAATCGAATGTACATGATAGATGAGAGGTGACAACACATAACGACCAATTGACAAATCTAGAACTTCACAATTTTAATCGTGAGAGGTGGCGACACATGACGACCAATCTTGAAAATTACAGGTTAGTATTTATTAGTAAATGAAACAACAATCCGTTGTAGTCTAGTTGGTTAGGATACTCGGCTCTCACCCGAGAGACCCGGGTTCAAGTCCCGGCAACGGAATTATTTTTTTTCATTTTTATTTTTCATCAAAATAATGCATTATATAAGCGTACCTTACGCATTACAACTTGTACCTCAAACAACAAAAATCCATATAAATAAAACTCTAGCTACTTCCCAAAACCTCACAACTCCCCAAAAATGGCTTCCATTCCTCTTCTCCGTTTCACTCCGACTACCCCTCGCCTTCTTCCCCACCCACTCAACGTCAATTTCCTCCAAACCCGTATTCAAACCCGAACCCGTATCCACACAAAACCCGCTTCCATCTCCGCCTCTTACAACCCAATCCCCGCCACTGACCGCCTTATCTCCGCCGTCGCTTACTTTCTCCCCTTCTTCAACGGCCTTCAATACGGCCGTTTCCTTTTCGCTCAATTCCCAACCCTAGCTCTTCCATTTCAACCAATTCTCCCACTTCTATCACTCTACCGCTCTCTCCCTTACGCTAGCTTCGTCACTTTCTTTGCTCTCTACTTAGGTATTGCTCGGAATGAGAATCTGAACAAGTACCCCCGGTTCAACGCCCTGCAAGCGGTGGTGCTCGACGTTCTACTGGTGCTTCCGATGTTGATTCAGAGGATTTTCTCACCGGGTCAATCGGGTATTGGGCTGAAATTTACGGTTTGGATGCATAATGGGCTTTTTGTGTTTGTTGTGGGCTGTTTTGTTTATGGACTTGTTTCTTCTATACTTGGAAAAACTCCTTATTTGCCTTTTGTTACTGAAGCTGCTAATAGGCAAATGTAGTTTTTTTTTTTTTTTTTTGATATGTTGTTGTTTTGTGATTTCTTTTTTTTTTTGGTAATGAAAGGAAGGTTTTTGTTGCATGGAATTGTAATTTTATGTGTGATATTTTAAATCGAATCGTCGATGAGATGTTTATCAAAGAGAGATTTAATTATGGGATGCAATTGAAGGGCTCGTAAAGTTCTAACACTTGAGAAGTAAGGGGTCGTTTGATAGTTGGTTAAGATAATGCAGGTATTAGTTACTTATTTCATAAGACAAATACATCAATTTCCTCATATAACTTATAAAAGGGTAGTTTGGTTTCAAAACTCAAAAATTAACTTGCCTATGAGAAAGTGAAAAAATAAAGCTTCAAAACTCAAAATTGTCTGGTATAAGTACAGTACTGCTGTCCTGGACTGTGCAATCATATTTACATTTGGTGGTGTCCAATGTATCTAGTGAAGGAGAGCATAAAGTTTCTCCTTTCTCGTATGCAAGATACACAGGTTTATCGAAAACAATCTTTCTACCTTCCAAGATAGGAGGGTAAGGTCTACTACATACACTCTACCCTCCCCAGACCCCACTTGTGGGGTTACACTGGTTATGTTGTTCTTGTTGTTGTAAGATACATTGTTGAAGGGCTGAACTTCAAAGGATGAGGAAACTACAATGTGTTCATCATGCAAGGCCAAAACCAGATTACTATCATCAGCCAGAAAAATGATAGGCTCGCAATGCAATTGCAACCATAGATCAGCCATTGTTTCTCAGCAAGTGAAGCAAATTATGGAGCAGAAAATGTGGCACTAATTGAACAACTCTTGCAAGTGTAAATCCTTTAGTCGCGCCAAATCTTCATCACATTAATACTACCATAACTTGAGTTCCTAAAGACTCCCAAGAAATAGATTTATACTGTACTCCAGCCAACTTCTTTCCTCACTTTCCTGTCCTTCATTATTTTCCGCACAATTTCTACCTCTTCCCACATTCCTACAGAACTATATAGGTCTGAAATTGCTATATAGTACCCATCATTTTCCGGGTCAGATTCAATAGCATGTTTTGCAATTCTGATACCCTTCTCAACCTGACTGTGAAGTTTACAAGAACTTAGTAAAGAACCCCAAATAGCTGCATCTCGAGCAATTGGCATGGACAAAACCAAAGTTTCAGCGTCATCCAAATTACCAGAACGACCTAGAAGATCAACCATACAAGAATAGTGCTTCAGTGTGGGCATCAAGGAAGAATCTTTCATTCTTCTAAATGTGGACTTTCCTTCTTCAACCAACCCTGCATGAGCACACGCAGAGAGCACAGCAAGAAAAGTCAGTTCATTTGGCTTAATTTTCATCTGTTCCATTTTTTTGAACATTTCTATAGCATAATTTGCTTCTCCATACATAGCATAGCCTGAGATCAGTACATTCCAAGAAACAATATCTTTCTTTTCCATCGAATCAAATATTTCTCTGGACTTTGTTAGCTGTCCACATTTTGCATACATATCAGTCAATGCAGTATCAAGCAAAGTATTCTTTCCGAACTCAACTTCCTTGATGTATTGATGAACTTTCTCTCCTTTCTCCAGGGAAGATACTTGAGAAGAAGCAGAGAGCAAAATAACCAGCGTTGCCATATTAGGCTTGTAACTTTCTGCTCTCATTTCATCAAAAAGACTAAAGGCCTCCGCAATTTTTCCACAACTAATATAGGAAGTCATCATTGTGTTCCACGTAACAACATCCTTATCGGTCATCATACAAAAGACTCTCCACGATAAAGTTAGATTCTTGCTTCTTCCATACATATCTATTAGAGAATTGGCGACAGAAACATTTCCAAGCATCAGATTTTTTATAACATGACAATGCAGAGATTGACCTAAACGAAGTTTTTCCAACCGGGAGCAAGAAGAAATCACAGATATCAAGCTGTTGACATCAGATTCAACTCCCAAGTATTGCATATCTCTGAATAAATCAATGCACTTGGCTTCTAATCCGTCCTTCCAATAGCCAATTGCCATCACGTTCCAAGCCTCTGTGTTTTGTCCATTCCCTCTATTAAATATCTTTTCTGCCAAATTCAAGAGTCTAAGCTTACAATACATGGCCAGTAATGTGTTACTAACCATGTTATCCTCATCATAGTTTCTTCTCAAGATGAATCCATGAAAAGTCTTAGTTTCAGAAATCATCGCGGCATTACCTAGACCAGAAAGTACACAACTAATCACCATCCCATCCGGGGATATCCCACTAGCCAGCATTTTCAAGAACATATCAATGCATTCATCTATACACCCATATTTTGCATAAACGCCAATTACTACCGTCCAGGATAACAAATCCTTCTCATCAACCTCACAAAACGAACTACAAGTTTCTTCAACCGAACCACATTTCGAGTACATCGACAAAACAGAAGACTGAACAACTTGATAACAACCAAAACCAGATTTCATTGCCAACCCATGAAAACACTTACCTTCTACCAATGCACCCAAATTCCCACAAGCTTGAAATCCACCCTCCAACGTCCGAAAATTCGGCCTCACCTCACCTACTCCATTCTTACACATCAAACAAAAATATTCCAACCCTTTACTACTCTCTCCATTCTCTACATACCCTTTTATAATCGCAGTCCAAGACACCACATCTCTCACAGGAATTTCATCAAACACATCAGACGCATACTCCATAACCCCACATTTCGAGTACATATAAACCAACGAAGCTCCAACAGCACTATTATCATAAAAAAGATTCAATTTTAACACCAACCCATGAACCCCCATCCCAATTTCAACCAACCCAAGTTCCGCACAAGCAGAAACAACCATTGGTACCGTAAACTGGTTAGGCAGAGCATTAGAACCCCGCATACTGGAATAAAACTCAAGCGATTCTGTGTATTTCCCATTAGAGAAATAAGCTTTGATAATCGAATTCCAAAGAAAAGGGTCCTTAAAATCGATGAAATCAAACACTTTCCTTGAAGAAATGAGGTTATTGTTCGAAGCATAAAGAGAGATAAGCTTTGCTGCTATGTACACGTTGTGGGTATGACCAGTTGTGATTATGAAGGCGTGGGATTGAAGAAGGGATTTGAGGTCTGAAGAAAAGCCATTAATGGAGAGGAATGTGTTGATTTTATGGTGAAGATTTTGAAGTTTAGTTCTGAACATGGAGAGAGTGTACAATGAGCCAATTGAAAGCAAAAACAGGAAATGGGGTAATATGAATTTTACTTTTAAAAACTGTTTAAGAACTATTATTTAACTTAAAACAATTCTAAAAAAATATTTACTAGTTCACAACATTTGAGATATTGTAGATCATTATTTTGAAATTGGTTTTCTCTATCATTAATATATTATTATTATTATTTAGGGATAAAGCATAAGTATATCCTAAACTATGAATTAAATCTTAGCGACACATCTTAACTATACTGAGGTTCCATTATTCGCCCTCAAAACCCTACTACTATAGAAAGTTAAAACAGACTGATTAATTTGAAAATTGTGAACTTAGCTACCTTGCAATCTTTGAATATTTGGTATGATACTATATTGAAAATTTTAATTCGGTTATAAAAATATTATATTATTATCATTTTAAGTTAATTTGATATTTTAAAGTTCTTTTCGATAATTTGTATATGTTGTTTGACTTCAACGTACATAAACTCATATAGTAGAGAATTATGACTTTGATTTTCAAGAAACATTTCAATTATATCAAACTAACACCTTACACATATAGAAACATTCAAAAGAAAGTAAAAGTAATTATTTTTAGTTAAGTAATTACATAAATAAAACATTTAAATCAAGATAGAATAGTCAAAGTTTCAATATCGCATAAACAATTTTTTTTGTACCAATACTAATTCGTATATTTATTAGCATCATAATAATATATTGTATATGTAACTCTATACTTCAGACCTTCTATATAATATTCGAGGTTTCTTTTATAAAATTGAATACCATATCAAATCGGATAAATAAAATACATATTAAATATTATAATACAGAATCATGGTATTAAAATTTTAGTTATAATATTATAATAGTATCTATTGTACCATGTTCACCTTTAATCCTAACCATAAAAATAAGTGAATTTCACATCCATTGCTTTATTTTCAGTTTTGACAAAATTGTTGACAAAACATTTTCTCCGAAAATACATTTTGGAAAAGTTGTTGTGGTTCATTTTTTTCATTTATTGTTTAGGTAGAATATCATTTTCAATGAGGACAAGTGAGACAAAAATTGCAATTATTTCCCACCAAACAAAAAATGGTTTCCCCACCAATTATTTCAATTTTTGAATTTATCTTTTTGTCCATATTTAAGTGTTTCTCCTTCCATTCTATTATAATTGTCTTTTTAACTCTTTTCATGTCCATTAAATTTTTTTATAAGGTATTAGTTATTAGTTATCCTATTAATTATATGGTTTTTGATAATTAAGTAGTATTAAAAAGAATTGCGTCTTTAATATTAAGAGTATGATTGAAAATATCTTTCAATTTTAATCTTGAATTGATAAAGCGATAATTATTTTGGAATAATTCTTTTAAGCTAAAGTAACAATCAAAACGGGACAGAGTGAGTATTAAATAAAACTAAGTATTTTCTCATGTCCATTTTACTTATCATAAGTTTTTCATGTCCCTTGAGAAAATATTATCTAAAAAAATAATTTAAACAAATTATCCTAATTTACTCTGGTCTAATTTAATAGTTTCCCCCCTATATCAATCACCCTATATTTATTGAGCTTTCATTTGTTTGCACTTAATAGATGTTTGATTTTGAATGGTTCAGATTTTTAGTCATTATAAATACATTTACTTTTATTAATTTGTATAAAAAGATCTTAATAATTAAAATCTAAAAAGAAAAATCATAATCCTTGTGTGCACTATATTTAGAGAGAAGTATTGAAAATATCCTTAAATTGAGCATGAATTATTAGTTTATCTCGAACTATTGACAGCCTTAAAAACACACCTTTACTTGACTAACTAAACTTAAATACACTCCCGATCTTGCAACACGAGTAAAATATACCTCTAAATTCTCGTCAAGTTTAGGACTGTTTTCAACACTTCTGTCGGTTTTTTTTTTAAGAGTTGCATGCTACTACAAGAATTTGAGACCACTTGTTATATCATGTGACAAATAGTGGTGCATCTATATTTAATTAGTCAAGTAGAAGTATTTTCACGACTATCAATAAATCAAAAATGAAACTAATAATTTACATCAAATTGAGGATATTTTTAATACCCTCTAATATTTATCATCATTCTATCCACGATCACCGACCCTACCACAAAATACAGCAAAATAAGGCTAATTAATTTTTATTTTATTTTTTTAACCTATTAGGACCCTCAAAGCATCAATCAAGCATCAATCATTGAAGCATAGTGTGTGACAGGAATATAATGAGTCAAGTAAAATACAATAAAAGATCAATAAATTAACTAGTAAAGCATACTCTGACAAGAACAAACATCAGAATCCCACTATACATTCCTTAAAAAACACTTTTTTTCTCCCCTCAATTCTTTCTTTTGTCCATTAAGGTATTGGAATCCAGCAAAATCTCATGATTCTTTGATTCTTTATATGTTTATGGTGCTCATAAGTCATAGTTTCCAATAGTATATGGCCAAGTCAAACTGTTTCAGCGTCACTGCATCTAGAAGCTGGTTCCTCAAATACTCTTTTTCAAACTCAGGTTTAAAATCTTCCACCACAGATTTAGGCAATGGTACTATAATCCACTGCTGGATACCCAAAACCCATAAAGAAAAAAAGCCCTCTTTGGTCCTCATACATGGGATTGGAGCTAATGCTATGTGGCAATGGAGTGAGTTCATCAAACCCTTATCATCAAGATTCAATCTTTATGTCCCTGACTTGTTGTTTTTTGGTGAATCTTACACTTCTAGGCCAGAAAGAACTGAATCTTTTCAGGCTGAGTGTGTTATGAGGACTATGGAGGGTTATGGGGTTAAGAAAATGGATGTTGTAGGGTTGAGTTATGGTGGTTTTGTGGGGTATAGTATGGCTGTTCAGTTTCCTGAGGTAGTGGAGAAACTGGTTCTTGTGTGTTGTGGTGTTTGTTTTGAGGAAAAAGATATGGAGAATAGGATGTTTCAAGTGAAGAGTGTTGATGAGGCTGTTGCAGTTTTGTTGCCACAGAGTCCTGAAAAGTTGAGAGAGTTGGTGAAATTGTCTTTTTACAAGCCTATCAAGAATCTTCCTTCTTGTTTTCTCATGATTTTATTGATGTAAGTCTTGATTTCCCACTTCTATATACTTTTTTTATGTTGGAATTTGTTTCTGTTTACATGACTATCTAACTAGTGTTTGTGCAGGTTGAGTATTAGGTATAAAGATTGAATTTTTTTTGTTTTAGAGCAAAGGAAGTTTATGTTTTCTATCATGAATTATTGGTGATTATTTTGTTGCTTGGTGGGATAAGTAGGATTCTTGAAGGTTTTGATGTTTTCATTGAATTATTAGAACCACTGAACAAGATAGAAGAATTGAGGATTATAAATCAGTCTCATGCTTACTATTACAAAAAAAGCTTGTGTACCTCATGGGGAGGTCGATGATTAGAGTATAAGGTGAGTTAGAAGTCGTTCCCTTTTCCCAGAGTTTAGATATATTCGTTTCTTTCACTTATTTTTAGATTTCTATCACTATTTGTTGTTTCGGCTTGATATTTGATTATCTTGTTGTTTTTGTTTGTTGCTATTGCTTCTTTTTCATTATTTGTTTGGCCGAGTCTTTCAGTAACAACCTCTCTACCTTCAAAGGTAGGGGTAAGGTTTGGGCACACTCTACCCTCCCCCAGAAAGTTGCCAAAAGAAAATGATCGAAAAAAACAATTTTATCCGACCTGACGGATTCGAACCAGCGACCTAAGGATATCTGAAAGGTTTACACCTACTACAGTCCTCCGCTCTACCAACTGAGCTAAGGTCAGTTGCATATAAATCCTTCCTAGTTGATAATATTATGAGGTGATCTATCTTATCAAATTCCAAGAATGTATATTCTACATCCCCCATTTCACAAAATTGATGTTGAGAGATATAAACTTTTGGATTCCAAGAATGTATATTCTAGATTTTGGCATGAAGAATGTTATTAGTTGTTTCAACTGGTTCTGTTAATCATACTTGTTGCCGTCATGATGTTCTTTTGCACCATTATTTTTTCTGTACGACGCTGCATATCATTCACCTAAAGCTTGCAGTTCAAGATTTGATGTCTATCTATCTCTTTGCTACAAACTCTTTTCTTCCTTTTTCTTTTTTTAAATACTCAGACAATGCAGTCTCAAGAGTTTGATCAATGTGTATTAGAAGATTTTGTGACTGTTGGATCATGGTTGTCTTCCTTATATTGCTATATGAAAATCTGAATATCTGTATTTGAAGATATTTGTGACAATTGGATAGTTGTTTTCTTCCTTATATTGATGTACGGAAATTAGTATTTGTTTGTTTGTTTGATCTTGCCTGTATATTGGAATCTGGATGATATTGTAAGGTGGTCTTACTTAGAAAGTTCCAAGAATGAATTTTGTCTTCCATCTACAACTTCAAATATATCAAGTTGAGGAAGCAGCTTCTTAAAGTTGTTTCTAAGATGTTTATTGACTTATCTACCTTTTGGCCTGAAGTGTATATTGTTTCTTCGACCAGTTCTGGCTCCAAAGAAGTACAAGTTGTCATGATCTATGTTCATTACATCCTTCTCGTTATTTGTTCTCATGTTGTTCCTTTTGCACCACTACCTGTGCCCCCTTTCTCTCTCAAAAATAAAATCTTGAAATCTATGTTGTTCGGACTCTTCAAAAATGTCAATGGGTGCGTGTCGGATCCTCCAAAATTAGTGTATTTTTGGAGTATCCAACACGGGTGCAGCAACGTTTTCGGAGAGTCAGAGCAACTTAGCTTGAAATTTGGTATATGATTGGTATGATAAGACATCAGAGACAATTGGTTTCTTGATGGTTCCTACATTGGTTTATATAAGCTAGTTGTTGTGTCTCTGGGTTTCTTACTGAGATTTTAAGAACTCTGCCTGGATTAAGAAATTGGAGTTTGCAGGGAATCTCACACTACTGAGACAAGAATATTTTTATAAGGTGATGTTTCCCAGAAAAATGATAATAAATTCTTTTCATGCATCACTTGTCAGATGAGAGAATATTATATGAATAGCCTCTTCTCTAGAATAGAAATTATAAAAAAAATCATACCCTCTTCTCTAGAATAAAAATTATATAACAAAAGGAGAAAAAAATAGCACAAAAAATAATCAAAATCCGACCTGCCGGATTCGAACCAGCGACCTAAGGATAACTGATAGGTTTTACCCCCACTACAGTCCTCCGCTCTACCAACTGAGCTAAGGTCGGTTGTTATTGATTCTTTCCAATGTTGTTTTTAAAACATTAAAAATGTTTATTTTGACTTGTTCCAAGAAAATGACTTATGTAGTTTTGCTTCAAAGAAGCCCAGCTGTCTACCAAAGCTAGGACAAATGAGTAGAATCACCTAGTGTTTTTTTTGTCTCTGCTGGGAAATGAACGTAAGACCTCATGGCTCTCAACCACTTCATTGACCACTAAGGCCACATTCTTTTAATTACTTGCTCTCATGTTGTTCCTTTTGCTCCAATAATTGTTCTCTAGGCATTCCTTCTGCATTTTTTTTAACAAGTAGGCATTCTTTCTGCATTTTCACGCCTAATATCATTTTAAAGTTCTTGCTGTCTGCTTGTCTACATCAAATCTTTCCTTCGCCTTCACCACCCTGGTGCGCTGTTTCTCTTTCTCAAATACTATATGTAGTATGTACTCTTGAAATTCGATAGATGATTGGTATCTCAAGACATGTATGACGGTTGGATGCTTGTTTTTCTCTTACATTTGTGTAGAGAAACTAGTTGTTATGGGTCTATGTTCTGCCTGGATTAAAAAAATGAAAATTGCAGGGAATCTCACACTACTCACACATGAACATATTCAATAAGTTGCTATTCCCTATGATAATGGTAATAAATACTTTTCATGTACCTCTTGTCAGAATGGGAGTATATTAAAAGGGAAACCCCTCTTCTACAGACTAAAATAGTTTTTAAAAAAAAATAGAAAGTACATGGCAAAAAATAATCAATCCGACCTGCCGGATTCGAACCAGCGACCTAAGGATATCTGATAGGTTTTACACCCACTACAGTCCTCCGCTCTACCAACTGAGCTAAGGTCGGTTTCTATTTATTCTTCTCTATGTTGTAGTTTTGAGAACATAAAATGCCTATCTTGCATGTTCCTTAGAAGCTTGAAAACATTGTAAGGTGATCTTAGTGAGTTACAAGAATAAATTTTGTCTTCCATCTCCAATTTCAAATATATGCAGTTGAGGAAGAAAATTCTAAAATTGTTTATAAAATGATTGGTTCTGAGGGTCTTTTGGAAACAACCTATCTATCTCCACAAGGTAGGGGTAAGGTTTGTGTACATTCTACTCTCCCCTAAACCCCATTTGTGGGAATACAATGGGTATGTTGTTGTTGTTGGTTCTTTTGGCCTGAAATTTACAATATTTCTTCCACCAGTTCTCCTCCAAAGAAGCGCAAATTAACATGAACTATGTGCATTGCATCCTTCTAATTATTTGTTCTCGTGTTGTTCCTTTTGCACCACCAATTATCCTTAGGTATTCCTTGTGCATTTTCATGCAAAGTATTGGTTTCAAGTTATTGTCTGTTTGTCTATTTAATTCTTTCCTTCCCCTCCACCGCCCTGGTTCCCCTTTCTTTATCAAATGTGATGTCTGTATATATTCTTGAAATTCGATAAATGATTGGTATTTCAAGACATTTGTTTGAGTTGAGTGCTTGTTTTCTGCCTGGATTATAAAATTGGAGATTGCAGGGAATCTCACACTACTGACACAACACTAAAACTATATAGGTTGCTATTGCTGAAGAAATGATATTAAATATTGTTGTCTTGTTGTCAGAGTGGGACTATATTATATGGCAAGCCCCTCTTCTCCAGAATAAAATAATTATTTTGAAAAAAGAGAAAAAGAATCAATCCGACCTGCCGGATTCGAACCAGCGACCTAAGGATATCCGAAAGGCTTACACCTACTACAGTCCTCCGCTCTACCAACTGAGCTAAGGTCGGTTGTTGTTGGTTCTTTCCAATGCTATGGTTTTGAAAACATTAAAGAATGTCTATCTTGTTTTGTCCCAAGAATGAATTCCCTCTCTAAACACAGCTGAATATTGTCCAACAGTTGCATGAGCATGATCACTTTTTTTTTTCTTATCGAGAAAAGATAAAAGAAGAGGAACTCATTCTAATGCTTACCTTGACTTGGAGTCTTGATAACATTATAAGTAAGGTGATCTTACTTTGTGAATCCCAAGAATGAATTTCGTCTTCCGTCTACATTTTTAATGAATATGAAGTTGTGGAAGAAACTTTGAAGTTGTTTATTAGATGTTTGGTGACTTATCTACCTTTTGGACTAAAGTGTACATTATTTCTTCAACTAGTTCTGCTGCATAGAAGACCAGTTCTCCTCCACAGAAGCGCAATGAACTATGTGCATTGCATCCATTTAATTATTTGTTCTTGTGTTGTTCCTTTTGCACCACTACTTTATCTCTATGTATTCCTTGTGCATTTTCATGCATAGTATTGGTTTCAAGTTGTTGTTTGTTTGTCTATGTTAACTCTTTCCTTCCCCTCCACCACCCTGGTTTCCCTTTCTTTATCAAATCTAATATGTCTGTATATATTCTTGAAATTCGATAAATGATTGGTGTTTCAAGACATTTGTTTGAGTTGAGTGCTTGTTTTCTGCCTGGATTATAAAATTGGAGATTGCAGGGAATCTCACACTACTGACACAACACTAAAACTATATAGGTTGCTATTGCTGAAGAAATGATATTAAATATTGTTGTCTTGTTGTCAGAGTGGGACTATATTATATGGCAAGCCCCTCTTCTCCAGAATAAAACAATGATTTAAAAAAATAAATAGAAAAAGAACATGGCAAAAGAATCAATCCGACCTGCCGGATTCGAACCAGCGACCTAAGGATATCTGAAAGGTTTACACCCCACTACAGTCCTCCGCTCTACCAACTGAGCTAAGGTCGGTTGTTGTTGGTTCTTTCCAATGCTATGGTTTTGTAAACATTAAAGAATGTCTATCTTGTTTTGTTCCAAGAATGAATTCCCTCTCAAAGCACTGCTGAATATTGTCCATCAGTGTTATCAAGAATGCCTATTGCATGAGCATTTTTTTACTTGTCAAAAAAGGTAAAAGAAGGGGAAACTCATGCTAATGCTTATATGAAGTTGAGGAAGAAAGATTTAAAGCTGGTTATAAGATGTTTGGTGACTTTATCTACCAAGCCTAAATTATCATGATCTATGTGCATTGTGTCCTTGTTATTTGCTCTTGTATTTTTCCATTTGCACCACTACTTGTTCTCTAGGCATTCTTTCTGCATTTTCATGCCTAAGTATTGGTTTAAAGTTCTTGCTGTCTGTTTGTCTATATAAACTCTCACTCCCCTCCACCGCCCTGGTGCCCCTTTTCTCTTCCTCAAATATCATGTGTAGTATATATTCTCGAAATTTGTTATACGGTTGGTATATCAAGACATTTGTGACTGTTGAGTGCTTGTTTTCTTATATTGGTTTTTAGAGAAGTCAGTTATTGTGAGTCTTGTTTTTTTTAAAGAAATCTTAAGCCTCTGTCTGGATTAAGAAATTGGAGATTACAGGGAATCTCACAGTACTGACACAAAAATATATTCTATAAGCTGCTATTACCAAAGAAAATGGTAGTAAACTCTTTTCATGTACCACTTGCTAGAGTAGGAGTGTATTATATGGTAAGTCCTTTACATATATAAAAAAAAGATGGCAAAAGAATAAATCCGACCTGCCGGATTCGAACCAGCGACCTAAGGATATCTGAAAGGTTTACACCCCACTACAGTCCTCCGCTCTACCAACTGAGCTAAGGTCGGTTGCTGTTGGTTCTTTCCAATGATATGGTTTTGAAAACGTTAATAAAATGTCTTATCTTGTTTTGTCCCAAGAATGAATTTCCACTCAAAGCTACTGCTTAGTGTGTTGTTCACCAGTGATATGGAGTTATGTAATGACCTTTTTAAGGATTTTAGTTTTGGCTCTCGGAAACAACCTCTCCAACTCCAAGGTAGGAGTAAGGTTTGTGTACGCTCTACCCTCCTCCGACCCCACTTTGTGGAATTACAATATGTTAGTTGTTTGGAGATGGAGTTTTCTCATGTATGTTAGTAGTGAGAAAAAAGTTTTCTCGTAGTATCAACTTGTGGAGGTGATAAATGGAAGCATGTACTATGGAGTTCTATACAATTACTATAGCATGCACTTTCTCCACTAGTTTAATTAAGTGATCACCTCTATCTTTTGTGCGCGAGGAGTTTCAGTGAGATGAACACTGAGGCTTTCAGCTAGTAGAATTTTCACAGAAGCTAGATAGGAATGCTGTCGACATTTAGCAAATTGATCAACTGAACTTCGATCCAGCTTTTAATCTACATCTATGTTTGGCTTCTCATTAATACGAGAAGTTTGAATAAATGTCACGATTGTTCAACCTAAAGTTGGTATTTACGTGTTTTCCCCCCTTGTTGTGGCAGGTGATGTGCACAGTCAATCATCAAGAAAGAAAGGAGTTGATCGAAACATTACACTATAACAGAAAGCTCTCTGATCTTCCTAAGATTACTCAGGTTCGTATAAACTATGGTCTTACCTCTGCGCTTAAAGTTCAACAATTATCGTTTGTTATTAGTTCTCTTACTGATATCCATCTCCTTTATGCAGCCTACGTTGATAATATGGGGAGAATATGATCAGATACTCCCACTAGAATTGGCTCACAGATTAAAAAGGTCAAACCTTACAAAACTAGACTAGCTCAAGCATTAAACGACTAGCTTTGCGTTTTTGTCTGAACTTGCTTTGATGGTGCAGGCATTTAAGTGAGAACGCGGAACTTGTTATAATAAAGGATGCAGGACATGCAATTAACATGGAGAAACCGAAGGAGCTTTTCAAACACTTGAAGTCATTCCTTCTTGATTCGCGCCCTCATACTAAACACGACAGTAATGGCAACAGCCACAAGCTGGATTAAAACGCGTGAAGACGACATTACATTGGAGGACTTTCCTGGTAATTTGGCTGAATCTCTTGGTTATCTACCTTCATTGCATTTATTTGTCACTTGGTTCTTGCAATCTCTCGGTGCATATTCATGAGCACCTGCACAGAGTATTTGTTCTTTGAAGGTAGTTCCCTGAACCGAACAATACGATCCTGGATATTCTCCTTTCCATCACTAACTTATTTAGGCTCAGAGTTTCAAGTTGCAAGGTCCTCTTCCTGAGTCGATTCAAAACCTTATGAACCTAACGCAACTTGATCTTAAGTTACATTTACGAAACCCCAATCATGGGTAGAGGACTCTGCAGTCAGTTAAAACTCGGTCTAAATAACTTAGTGATGGAAGGGAGAATATCCAGGATGGTATTGTTCCGTTCAGGGAGTAACCTTTAATGAACGAATACTCTGTGTGGGTGAGATTCGAAAGAGATTCAAGAATAGACCCTGAGAGATTGGAAGAATCAAGCGAGAAATAATGCAATGAAGTTAGATAGCCAAGAGATCCAGGCAAATGACTAGAAAAAATCATTCTAGTGAACATACTTATTTCCTTCTAGACCTATTTAATAGGCGTTTCGCAATAGAAATCAAATATTTTTCACTTTTTTTTGGAATTTTTAAATTGGAGTTACGTTTGATTATATTTTTTGCAAAGAATATTTGGTTGATTAAATGTACTTTTTCTAATAAGATGTGATTTTAACATACAATCAAATCTGCTTTTTAAATGCCCAAAATTGTTGTTTCACTAATTCAAATGCCATAATTAGCTAACAAGCTTATTCCAGGTTATAACACATTTTGTTAATTACTTAATGTTGCTAGGATTCTGCAAAATCTTTTATTATGTACTTATGTTTTTTTTCCCCTTAAAATGGGGGCGTTTTAATAAAATACAAAAAAATTGGTCTAAATTTGAAAAAAGAAAATAAATGCAGTGGTCAAAAAGTGAGATGGAAATTAAACAAGTTTTCCATCGGATTCATTTTTTTCTAACTTTTATGAAAACACAATTTGAGTTTGGGTGTATCGAAAATAACATTTCTGCTCAATGAAGATATTAATGTAAGATTTGCATATATTTCACCTTCCTCAAATCGTAATTATGAAACTATACTAAATATATTTTTGTTGTTGAATGTTTCACCAAATAAATATGTATCTTCTCCGTAAATTTAAACGTTTCTCATATATTATTTCATTTGTGTCCGTAAGAACATTAATTAATGTCAAATTGAGAAAATTATTAGGTGAGACTTGCAAAGCATAACAATGACAGATTGACAATGGTGCAAAACTTGGTGGTAGTGCAAGACACCCCACAATAACACATATCGAAGATCTAGCGTCGATGAGTTTAAAATATATTCGTGCTAAATGGTTTATTATTTAGGTAGTATTTTGCTCAAATATTAGGCTATGGAGGAATAGCTGGAAAGTATCAAAATGGATTACGTTGTGTTCGAACTCTGAAAATGAAATCGTTTTACTTCAATGCCTATTGTGTCGGCTTGGCCTTTCATAAGTGGAGACAGAATAAAGCGGTGAAATATTCCGACGCAAATCCGAATAAGTCGAAACATGGAAAAAAGATTAAAAAATCCGACCTGCCGGATTCGAACCAGCGACCTAAAGATTATCTGACAGGCTTGCACCCACTACAGTCTTCCGCTCTACCAACTGAGCTAAGGTCGGTTGTGTTTTAATTCTTCGATAAATATATTATATACTATTCTATCCTAATTATTGTGAAGTATGTATAGTCAAAAATAGATCGGCCCTCAAATCGGGTCAAGTTATACTTGTTCGAGTTGACTCGATAGTGGTACGATCAACTAAGCTTTATTTGAGCAACTGTTCCTGGGCTTACATTAGTTATAATTATATATGGTCTTCCAAAAGTAGACCACCAAGTGTTAAGAGTTGTCAGGTTGTCATTTTAATTTTTTACTTTTTTTTTATTTCCAATCAGTTGTTCAGTATACACGTTAAGATTCGACTAAATCAAGGATCATATCCCTTGAAGGACATGAGTAATGAGAGACAAGCAACAGTGCTTGGAACTGAAAAATAAGATTACATTATATAGACATATACTATGAATGTGATGTGATTTAACTGTTATTTTACACAAAATGAATAATTATGAACAATTTATTTTAGAACAAAAAATGATACAAGCTTGCCAAAACTTCTTTTCAGATACCAAGGACTCCGTTGTTTCAGCTTCGAAACTCTTTGTATAATGGACCCGTCCCTCTATCCTATTTCGTGACCACAACATCTTGAAGAAGTGACTCTAAATCATTAAACCTGCACGAACGCAATAATTAGTCATAAATCATCATTCCTATAAGTTTGTTAAAGTATTATACTACAATGACCAGCATATATGTGTGTATGTATTCATACCTAACATCACTCAAGTCAGGATAGATTGCTATGGCTTCTTTGAAATCCTGTGAAACATGATAATGTGTCCCGATAATGATGTCACTTATCGTTAAGCATGAAAGGCGATGAAGGAAGACCATAATGATATGTGTTACCTGATCCGCGGTAGATGAAGTGTAGGTTATTACACACGACATTCCAGCTCCGGTTGCAGCCTGAGAAATTGGTTAAGTACAGAACAGTTATAACGAATACTGCAGTTCACATATCCGGACCCTAACAATGCCATTTTGATCACCTATATATAAGCCTATTAAGAAGATGAAATTAGTTTCGCGAGAAGGCAAAGATGTACTAATAAGGGCGAGTTACAAATAGGCGTTACATTTCCATATGATGAAGATCAAAGTCCTACTACTTCGAACTACAAACAACCTCTCGAAAGAACTTTAGAATGTAAGTTACAGAAAATTGGGAGATGAACCTGTAGTCCGATGACACTATCCTCTACCACCAAACAATTGCTTTCTGAGACGCCAAGTTTCTGACGAAAACCAAACCAAATGTCAAAAGAAGTATGATAAATGTTATAATACGCGGTATGAAAGTGCAAATATGTATAATACTAATCACCTTGGCAGCTGTAATGTATATTGAAGGATCAGGCTTTTTTTCTTTCACATCATCACCTGGAAATTACAATTACGCTATTCAAAGAGTCCTGTGCTGATACACATCTACTAACTAAAATCATGTAATCTTATGAGATAGTAGTAGTAGTTTCAAGACGAAATGGACCGTGTTCTATCATACAGCATTTCAATTTACGACAGCATAAATACGTGAAGTAGTTATGAAGTAGCATCATGTTCTTTTACAGAAATAGGTAGCATAAGTCATCAAAAGAAGTCCGGATAAAGATACCTGCAAGGAAGCAATCAAGACCATGGAACCGATCCTAAAAGAAAAAATTTGGACAAACAATTAACCTTGTTTCGACAAGAAATAGAACGAAAAGGAAACATGCTTCCACTTACAAGTCCTATAAGATTCTCAAGACACAGTACAACTGAACTTTTAGTTGCAGCAGAGCAGACAGCGAGCATCTTGCCCTGGAATACAATGGAAAAGGTGTTAATGCTAGGAACGGAACCAGGTAGGCCCAAGGGGTTCATTCGAACCCCCTTCAACGGAAAATTACACAGCAGAGTAAGAACTGCAGTTGTAAGGTAAATATCTTACAGCAGCCTTAGCCTCATCCATCAATCTTAAAACTCCTGGTCTCGGCTCAACCTGCCAAAAGCAACACCAAATCGTTTCGTAAATGAAAACTGGATATGCTACGAAATTCAAGCGATTTAAGCAGGAACAATGATGAATATAGATAATCTATCTTACAGTTCCAGATTTGATTATCTCTTTGTACCTCTCAGTCTTCCAATCCTACAAAAAAAATGGAAAGAATGCAAAGGGCATCGTCACCGACAAGAAATCATTTGAAAGGAAAGATACTAGTAATAATAGTAAGAACAACAAAGCAAATAAAGCAATCACATAGTTAAGCCTTGAACTAGTGACCCCTATCCATACCTTGTCGTTCGAAAACCTACTTCTAAGACTGCTTGTTGATTAGACTATAGTGTAAAACCAAAATCAATATTGTCTCATGAAAAACACATTTATTATCTCCATTTGCAAGTTTAGAGCTTAAAACAATCCGCCAATCTTCCTAGCTGCTGCATCCCCATCCCCTAGCTTCATACATTACTCAGTCAAACTTTGTTTAAGTTATGATCAAACAGTTCCGCGTCTCATTTCCCAGCCTCCCAAGCCTCCAAATCAGCCCTCAGAGTTCCACCTACCCCAGTTACCATCCTACTTGTGTTCAACTCTCCCTGCACACTATATTTCTCTGGTCCTTCCTAGTTTTTTCCTTTTTGATGAGCTATAACCTTTTATAAGATTATTTTTTATGTATATTAATAAGCATATGAGTCAAACATCAATTCACATAGCGGAAAGAATAAAGAAAATCAGATATAATACCTGAAGAGTATCAATCAGCTTGGCTCTATCGTTGTCATCCTCCGGAGAATGCTGAAAGATTGTTGAAGTAGGCCAACCATGCTCCTTAAAATACCTATCAAAACACTCGAAAAAACTCCATCAGTATATGATAAATGTTAGAAAAATGTGAACAAAATCTCATCTAAAAAGTCCGCGTAATGATTTGATCTAATCTATATTGCCATTAAAGCCTATTCCGCGTCATTTAACAACTTGTTTGGATGGTTACTACGTATCATTTCATAATATATCTTCTCAAATTTTCAAGTTTAAACTTCATAAATCTACAGGACTTCAACAGTCAAAAATATTGAGAAGAAAAATAGATAATACCATCGCATTTTGGGTTTTCCACCTCCAATTTGATTCTGTAGCACATCATAGAACTCAAGGCTCCAATTCAGCGGCTCGTCGTCATCAGAAGGGCATCGCACATTGAAATGAGAGAAAGCATCGTTATACGCTTGGCGATGAAGATGCTCGGATTCCAAAATTACGCCATCGCAATCGAATATCAAAGCTTCTAATGCTCTCGTTGAAGAAGAGGAAGCTGAAATTGATAGCGATTTCGAAGGAAGAGTTCTTCGGAATGTTGTAACTGAAGGAGAGAAGAAAAGTGAATTGCGAGAACAGAATGAGTATTGCGAATTTGGTGGAGAGATAAGTAGGTTAATGGAAGACGCCATTGTTGTAGCTGTAAACTGGAGCTTTGTGTGAAGCTTTTTTGGTTATGGCGATTGGCGGGGGATTTGATTTGTGTGGTAGTTAAGCAAATGGGGATTTTTGCATAAGTAGCCAATTTTTGTGCCTTTACTTAATAGCCTAATCCATGAAAATTAGCCGAGGCCGATCCAAAGTTTTGAAGTGTATGAGTTGCTACTAAAATAATAATTGAGTTTATAGATTTCTTAAAATAAATACAAGATATGAAGAGTTTTGTACATCTTTAAACACAATTACACAAACACTAATTTATTTTCAACGAAAATCTATCTAAGAGATTGAATGATAATAAAATAAATCTCTGTTTAATGTAAGACAATGTTAATACTTGTAGTGAATAACTATGAAATCAATCAAAAGTAGTCTTTGATCTCTAGGTTCTCGTGAGCACATACCTCAAGGGTTATATACGTCTGAAAATTAGGTAGAATGGCTAATTTTTCAAGCTTGATATAAGTTTTTAGTCCCACTAAAATACGGGAAAGAATACCGTCACTAAAAACACAAAAAAAAGCTTATGAAGATTTGAACTCCGTAAATAATTTATTGGGTTTGAATATGAAGTTTGAAAAACTAGCAAAAATTTATAACGCATTGAATCATCACTTAAATTTCACTTATCAATTCTTTGAAATTCAATATCGTTCTGTATTTTAATAAAGACATTCTTTTATCTAATTATTTTCACGTATCAAAAGAATAATAAAACAACAATATCCTTTAAAATAATAATTAATATTAGATAATAGGAGCTAAAACATAACAATATCAGATAATAATCTTAATAGTTTAGTTGACTGGTCACCTAATCTTTCATTTTATTAACGAAGATTTCGATTATCCACCTCGTAATATTCCTATGTTGAATTAAACAAAGCCCATTGGACTCGGATTCCATTTGCTCCGAATTTTTCTCTTTATTTTGAGCCACACAACAAAACCAATTCATTTTCCCCCAATTCTTCTCAATCTAGGTATACAGATTCTGTGCTCAAATTCAAAACCTTCAAGAGCGAAAATGAATGGCAGAGATGAAGAAAAGGGTTTAATATGGAAGCTACCGATAGTTAAATCAAAGCATTTAGGGAAAATTGGACCTGGTTTCGGAATCGGCGTTGGTTGTGGTGTTGGTATCGGAATTGGCCTTATCGGAGGCACTGGTTTTGGTCCGGGACTTCCTGGATTGCAGCTGGGTTTTGGATTAGGTGCTGGTTGTGGAATTGGTATTGGTTTTGGTTATGCAGTTGGAAGAGGTTATGCTTATGATGATAATCGGAGATACTCTAACGCCGGTAACGTTTTCAATCGGCCGGCGAGTTTTCCGAATCATGATGAAGTAGGTCAATTGCTTGATGAGATTGTTACGAATACTAAGAAATTGATCAAAACAACTACACAAGAGTTAGATAAGTGGAGAAGATCTTAATTGTGTGCTGTTATGGGCTAAGTTGCGTGGACACTTCACTTTCAATGTCGCACCGTGTCGGATACTCCTAGAATACACTATTTTTGGTGAATCCGACACACACCCGTGACATTTTTGAATAGTCCGAGCAACCTATGGGTAAGTTTCTGCTCCTTTGAAAATGGATGTGTCATTTGCTCTACTCATAAAATTAGCTTAGCTTCTTCTTCTTGTATGGATACAAGAAATATCTCGTGTTTGGTACCGAAGTAAAAAATATTATATTATGTTAAAGATGTTTGTGTATAATTTAGACGAATATTATGTATGATGGACGGTGGGAGTAGGGTAGGGGTGTTCGAGGGTATTCGAACTAAAGGATCAGCAACACTAAAAGAGTCTTAAGCATTCATCAAGAGCCATTAGACCAGTCAGAACATTTGTTCACGAAATGCTCTATGTTAATTTTATACAGATGCTTCTTAATTTCTATATATATATATATATATTTCAATACGAGGTTAATGGGTGTTCGAGCACTCTAGGTTGGTCCGCCCCTGGTTATTTTGTGGAATAAGGGTGAAGATGGTTTGTGTGAGAGTGGAAGGACGTAATCAATGCAGAATATTACTTTGTGATTTGTAAAGTTTATTTTTCATACTTTTTAGTTAGCGAATAATGCTATACTTTTACAATTGAGGTTTAAAGAGGAAGGTTTAGAAAGGGAGAACGTGAGTAAATCTTATCTTTATCGAATAAAGAAATTGTTTTTGATAGATATGAAGAGAAAACAAATAATGTAAAGAGGGAGTTGTTCGGACGATAAATATTCTTTATCTCTAACTACTTCTTCTATTTTAAAAACAATGACCTTCTTTCCTAAATAGTTTGTTTAAAAAGGAATTACCTCTTTTTTTTTTGTAACATTTTAATTTCAATTTTTCACGTGGCATGTTTAAGGTCACAAAATTAAAGGACAATTTTGTACATTTGACATAACTTTAATTTAGGACCACAAGATTCAAAAGTCTTCTTTATTTACTTAAACTCCGTGTCAAGTCAAATCAGGTCATTCTTTGTAAAACTAAGGGAGTATAAAGTTATGATTTCGAGTCACCAAGAAAATAAAAATGATGAAAGTTGTGCATAGGATGGTTGTTCAAAATTGAATCGAGAATAAGTTATTGGTTTATCAATAATGTATTATTTGGTTTAGTAGTTTTGATTTTTTTTATATCAGGTTATCAGATCTTAATGGTTATTAAGATCTTTTTAATTGGCTAACTAATAACTCGATAGTAAATTAAATAATTATATTTGTGCCATTTTGTATATAAAGTCTTTGACTTAGTGTTTGATTTTCTACTTTTATGTCGAGTTGTCTCAAACTCTTGATTATTCTATAATGTAAAAGTGTTTGCTTTGGAACAAGATGTAACTTGTAAACTCATGTGTACGGTTCAATTGATTTGTCACCTTGTTTTTAAGTGATTTCTCATGATTTTTTGTGTGTAAAATCTTAATGATTAAAAACCGATAACTGAATGATAACGATCAATAACCAATTAGCTAATATCTTAATGATTTTATAATATTTTAACATTTCTAAAAATCAATACCTAATAAGTTAAATTGATAAACTTTACAACCAAACCGATCGATACACAATCTTACGGGTTAAGAAAAAGAGAGAGAGAAGAATTGTAGTAGCATAATGGAATAACTTTTTTTGCTATGGAAAAGTTTACTGAAGATTCTCTCGTTCAAACTTTAAAAAAAAAAAAAAACAAACAAATTAAATTCCGAAAGTCTAACCCTGATGTATTTCTTCTATTTCAATTTATTTGATCTATTTCAATTCAACACAAAATTTTAAAAAATATATAAAATTTTATAATTTTATGAACTTAAATTAAAAATGCGACCATCATAGCAGAAGTACTGCAACATTAAATCAACACTGTGAAAAAGGTTATGTACAACATCAATGTATTAATATCAAAATTTGTACACCATACTAAATGCTTCTAACAGCCTCATTAAATATATCTTGTCTCTAAAAACAAAACAAAAACCACAAGGGACCAAATTTATTGATATCAAAATTCCTTCAAAAATAAATTCAAATAATACATACATACATACCATCCATCCACGTGTTAAATATAAATCACACTACTAATAGAAAAAAATAAATCAAAATTCACAAGTTGATCTGAACAATACGATTATTACCAAACTAAGGATTGTAAAAGTGGTCTTCACATCTACATTTCCATTCAAGTGGCTTATAATTCGAGTACCTATTAGATCCGATTGATGGTGATGATGAGTCAAAATATTCCATAGCCATATTTTTACCTCGACTCGGACTCGATTCAACTCGATGATGACTCGGTGTCGTTGGCACTTGTGCCGCCATGCATGGGTGGCATTGGTTACACTTGTTGTAACAACTTGGTGGCATCGACCCTAACCTTGTTTTCTCTTCCATTAACAAATCCTAAAAAACAAAAAACTAATAATTAAAAATTCAACTCCATAACATAATAGTGTATATTTACATGCAAAGTCAACTTGTATTATTATAACTAATAAACTATACGTATGCTAATTTTTTAAACTAATATTGGGACACTACTATAAAACATGAATTTCTAATGGACGTTCCAACAAAAATTGACTCATCGTTAAGGAAATTTGTAGGGAACATTTCCGATAAGTCAATTTTCGACGAATTTCATAGGAAAGAAGAGAATTTACCTTAGTAGAATCTTGGAGTTTATGTTTATGATGATATAAACAATAAGAAGGAGAGAATAGGATAAGAAGGAAGAAAAAAAAGACAATAATTGTGGATTTGATAGAAAAATATAATGAGAAAATTGAAGTGTTACTCAAAATCATGGTAGCATTTTTTTTTCACTTTATATATAAAAATAAATTCACATAAAAAAGAAAAAAATCAAAGTTTTGTATTTTTAGAATTAGAAGAAAGAGTAGGAAGAGAGAAAAATGGGAAGAAATGAAATGAAATGAGAGATGGAAGAAAGTAAGAAGAAACTAGTGATATAATATATGAATTTTATTATATTTTTTTCTTTATTATTGTTATTTTTAGTGATGTGGGGAAAAAACAGAGAGTGAAAACAACAAGTCAAGGAAAAAGGAGAGACAGAAATAGAGGGAGAATTGGTGCAGAAAAAAGGTGGAAAAAGCTTTTTTACATTATTGAGGGCTTCACTTGATATAAATCGATACAACGTTTATTCAGATTTCAAGTTAGATACATATAGGAGTATTAAATATATTAGGTATATATATTTTCATACCAAATATATTATGTAATACAAATACGTAGGAAGAGAGAGGTGAGTAAGAGAGAAGAGGGGCGAGTGACATAGCAGAGAGGTGAGCGAGAAAGTCAGTATATCCTAGATATATACGAATCATACTTAAATATAGTCTATCTAAATAGATTACAATTAATTTAACCCACATGTATCCAAAATACATGCATTTGAGTGTGTCACTTACTGAAATAAATGTTATACATAAGGTAGTATTCGAAAACTACAGTTACAACACATAATTAGACTCTAAACTAATAAAATTTGTATGTGTTTAAATAGATTGATACAACAACAATATACTTGGTAAAAGTTTTATAAGTGAGGTTTGAAAGGACTGAAGTGTGCACAAATTCTATTGCTATTTTTGAGAAGGTACACAAATTATTTTTTATAGACCTTCGACTCAGAAACAGGTTTAAAGGTGATAGACAAATTAGTAAATGGAAAAAATAGAAATAAATCTAAAACTAAAAACATTTTTTTTATTTTCTTTTATTTCTGGTAGACTATATAGCTAGTCAGTAAACTGTAATATATGACGTGAGAACTAAGACTTGTGTAATCAATACATTTTTCTATATTTGCTTTTCTGAAGCTAATTCTCTCCCTATCTTAATTTGTTTAAAAAAAAAAAAAAAACATCTCATAGATTCTAATTTTTTGAAGTTGAAAAATGATACTATAATTTGAAAGTTTAAAATATCGTGTTTGAACATGTATTTTACATGAAACTCAAAATTTCGTAAGTGGATTCATTAAAGAAAAATCAAAAAATCAATCTAATATAGTACTATAACTAAATAATATTTTACATTGAAGAAGATCTCTTAGTTACAATTAAAGTGCATGACAACAACATAACATATTGAATGTGACTTCACAAGTAAGATCTGAACATGATGGAATATATATACAGATTTTACCCTTATCTAGGACGACTTCGATAAATTCTCAACTAAGAAAACTTAACAATATATTAAAATGCAAATGGCTATAATTTCATCAAATAGGGTTTCAAACAAATGTTTTAAAAAATAGCACTTAATTAAAAGACACATAACATGTAATAAGAAAAAATATTGATAGTTCCAATATTTTGCAAAGAGTGACCATAAAATAGTGACAGTTCAAAGAGAAGTGTCAACATCCCCTTCCCTAAAAAGGGATTTTAATCAGTCAATAAAGGAGCTAGCTACTACTATTATTTATTTATTTTAAATGTGGTCACTTTCTGCAAAAACACAGAGAATAGTACTTTTAAAAATGGTCCATATAATTAATTAAAGATAATTAATTGACATATATTTAAGAAGATTGAATGATTTGTGACATGCTATAGTAACCTAATTCTGAAAAACCTAAGCCCTAATTTAATAGGAGTCTATGAAAATGGTGTAGCTTTTTAGAGTAGTGTCTAATTTGACTTGTAACTTCATGTGTTGGAAGGGACAATTTGCTATAGTAGTGGTTATCCTTTCAAGTTTCATCTTGTTTGCTTATTGGACTTTTTTTAGAAAAATATTAGTAGTGGTAGGCTATTACCTAAAGTTTATTGACTCGATTAATTTAGATAGGTGTTGTATATGACTTATTAAAGAGGAAGTGTGTTCTTTGCTTGGAGTTTCTCTATTCTCGAACTTCATAACACGACCCGCCTCGAGACTCGATCTGTGACCTAACCATGTGATCTAACGCTCATCAGGTCTTCCTAAACCTAGGACCTGACCTTGAATTTTTCAACCCGAACCCCGACCTGAGACTCGTTCTTGAATTGAAACAGGGCCAAAGCCCATCAAGATAGGGTTGGTGTTAGGTTTAGGTCTTGGAGTTGGGTCTCTGGATCAAGTTCATGTCTTGGGGTAGGGCCTAGTGTTGGGGTTGGCTCTCGGGTGGAGGTCAAGTCAAGGTTGGGTCTCGAGGTCGGGGTTAGGATCTCAAGCTCAATCTTGGTATCGAGTTTGGTCTTAAGTCTCAAGTCGGATCTTAGGTTAGGGTTAGGATTGTGTCCGAGGTCGGTCTTGGGTTGGCATCAAACTATAAGGGTGAGGTCCTGCATTGGGTCGTTACATGGGTTAGGGTCTAGAGTTATAGTGTTTGTTTAGATTATATACCTAAATCCCCTTGGGACTATATATTTTTCCTTTATTACTGAACACAAGAAAATAACTTGAAAAAATACTTATTTTCTAGAAAAACACTTTTTGTGGAAATTTTTTTATCTTCCTTCGTATCGACCATTGTCTAATATAATTTAAAACAAAAACTAACTATT